CAACGCGCGGCGCTTGCGCCGTCCGAGCCGGATCACGTGGGGGAGATGCCGCCGCGGCCGCCACGCCCCTCCTTTAAAACAGCGAGAATCAGGTGACGCCGACCTCCTGCTGGAGTCGCTCGCCGCCGCCGGGCAGGTAGCTGGTCACCCATCACCCCAGTCCTGAAGCCTTGGAATTTCTTCCTCCGGAACGCCGCACCCTTGGCACCGTACGGTGGCCTTGCCGGGCCATAAACAGCCAACGCTTCCTATCGCGCGCAGCCCGTCGGAGCGCCCGTGGGAATGGATTGTGTGATGGGCAGGCGGGCGCGGGTGCCGGGTGAAGATCTGAAAGTGCCCCACCTGCCCTGGCCGGTTTGGCTCAGTGGATGGAGCGTCGGCCTGCGGACTCAGGGTCCCAGGTTCGATTCCGGTCAAGGGCATGTACCTCGGTTGCGGGCACATCCCCAGTAGGGGGTGTGCAGGAGGCAGCTGATCGATGTTTCTCTCTCATCGATGTTTCTAACTCTCTATCCCTCTCCCTTCCTCTCTGTAAAAAATCACATATTAAAAAATAAAAGAAAGAAAGTGCCCCACCAGTTCCCCATTTCTAGCCTTGGTTCATACCCATGGAGAGTGGCCTCTTAACAGCTACCGATCCCACAGTTTACAGAGCACTTACCTGTGCTTTAGGTTAGGACTTACAAGTCACTTTTAACCCGTTTCCGTCTGACCTCAGGCAACTTGCAGCGTTGGCCCTACTTCACTGGCAGTTCAGAGGCTGAGGTTAGGTAACAGTCCTGACACTTAGCGGGAGTGACCTTGGACGAGTCATGCCCTGAGGCCCAGATCCTCGTCCGAAAAGGCACTCCCCTGGCGCTGGTAAGAATTACTACCGTGGGAATAGTGGTCTGATTCCGCTTGTAAGCGGGAGGCACGCAGCAGAGGTGAGGGGCTGAAGGAAACCGGAGAGGACTGTTTGGAGGGGAGAGGCCCTTCGTGAGGCTCGTGCAATAGGTGAAGTGTGTGCACCCCCACTGGGTGAAGGGGTAGCCCGGGGATGCCTTTCCTTGCCCACCTCCCCCCAGAGCGCTTTGTAGCTATTGCCTCCAACCTGTTGTCTGGGCTGCTGGAGCGGGCGTGCGGGAGACCATGCTACCCAACTTCAACCAACACTCTGCTGAGGGACCTACTGTGTGCCATCGTCCGTCCCCAAGCTCTCCCGGGGGAGCTTAGAGGCGAGTGAAGGATGTAAAAACAAAAGACTCTGGAAATTCAGAAGCACGAGGGACCCTTCCGCACAAGAGAGAACTGGGAACGGCGTCTAGGGCAGGAGGTTTTTGAACTGGGTCTTGGGGGATGAATGGGTGGAATTTGGACTCCTGGAGAAAGTTATGGTGCAGGAGATAAGATTGTAAAGGTCGGGTGGCAGGGTCTGAGAGTGCCAGCCTCCACTGCCAGGCATAGGCACCTGGCCTGTCACTGGTGCGAGAGAGAGAGAGATATCAGACTCTGTAGGATAATGACAAGGCCACGCAGCGATCTGGAGTGATTAATCCGGCAACCGTTGGGGAAGGGCATTTGTATCAAAATTATGTTTGCCCTGTCCCGTGTGAATTCCTACTCAGAGGTAGTAAGTGGAAAATAAATAAACCAGGCATCCAGCATGTTCATAAGCATAAAAAATTCATTTCAGATTAGAATGGAAGGTTATTCTGTGGTAAAACCTGAAAAGGAGGAAGAGGTTGAAATGAAACACACACCACTGGGAGATGCCAGGCCAGCAGGGCCACCCCTGCCTGGAGCTGAGCCAGTCTGCTGCTTTCATGCTGCAGGCCACAGTGGTCCTCTGCCCCTCCAGCCTCAGCTCCCTGTCAGACACCCACAGGCCCTTGGTCGGCTCTTCTTCGGTCTATGAATGTTGGAAACCCAAACCTGCTGCTGTGAGTGGCTCTGGCCAGATAAGGTCATCTTAGGTCTCTCCCTAGCAAGGGTCAATGACTTTCCTTTCCCTTCAGCTCACATTTCCCAGGCCCCTGCAATCATCTGGGCCTATCTCTGCCACGCCCCGTAGGTCCCCAGGCTCCAACCGCGAGGCCAGCACTGCTGGTTCCCTTCCATGAACTTGCTGGTTCTTCTACACGCCCACAAGCTGCGGACATTTCGCCCTCTGGGCCTGGAAGGTCCTGCCCGCTGTTCACCCTTTGCAGACAACAGAGCTTCACTGCTTTCCCTGACCCCTGCCTCACTCCCCGCGCGGCACTGTCAGCCCTGCCCCCCTCCCCCAGGGCGTCCTTGAATCCCTCTGTGCCTCTAACTCAGCGGTTCTCAACCTGTGGGTCGCGACCCCTTTGGGGGTCGAACTACCCTTTCACAGGGGTCGCCTAAGACCATCGGAAAACACATATTGAATATATAATTACATATTGTTTTTGTGATTAATCACTATGCTTTAATTATGTTCAATTTGTAACAATGAAAATACATCCTGCATATCAGATATTTACATTACGATTCATAACAGTAGCAAAATTACAGTTATGAAGTAGCAACGAAAATAATTTTATGGTCGGGGGTCACCACAACATGAGGAACTGTATTAAAGGGAAGCGGCATTAGGAAGGTTGAGAACCACTGCTCTAACTGGTCTGTGAACGCCAGGTCACACTCCCTTTCTCCTTTACCCATTTTCAACCTCACATTGACCTAGCGACACACATGATTCACATCTATAACCCAGTCAAGGGTTTTATCCCACAAGCCTGTGAGGTGGTCTATTCCATTTACCCACTAATTTATTGTCATGCTGGTGGGGAGTGAGTCTTAACCCGGTTTTACACCAGAGTTAACTTGGGACCTTTAAAAACCAAACCAGCCAAACAAAACCTGAGAGATTCTGATTGAACTAGTTCGCAGTGGGACCTGGACCTTAGTATGCTTGGAAAGCTCCCCAGGTGTGCTGAGGTTTCCAACAGCACTAGATCCTGGCGTCCCCGAGGTGCCTATAGATAAGAATCACCTGAACTTGTCCCAGCAGCCTGTGAGCCTCGACCTGCTGCATAGATACCACCTGGGAACCTGTTAGAACTGACTCTTCCTGGCCCGCCCCACCCCACACACAGTGAACTGGTATCTGTATTTAACAAGGTCACCGGGTGATTTGTATATACTTTAAGGGTTTAAAAGATAGATTCTAGGTACTGGAAGTTTGGTTTGGAAAAAAAAAAAAAAAAGATCTTCAGTTCCAAAGCGGACCTACTACAAAGTCAGAATATCCAGGGGAGAGGCCAGTTGGCTGGTCTACATTTAACACAAGCCCCAGGCAGTTCTTAGGTAATTTTGGGAAACAACAGCTCTACATTGATACCCTGACCCATAATAATAACCTAATGTTTGGAACACAGGAGCCTGCAGGGTCAGGAATATGAGTTAGTCTGCAGCCCATAGAGCAGTGGTTCTCAACCTTCTGGCCCTTTAAATACAGTTCCTCATGTTGTGACCCAACCATAAAATTATTTTCGTTGCTACTTCATAACTGCTGGGTCTGGGGGTGGGGAGGGAACGGCACAGGCGAGCTACGGGGAGGGAGAGCGAGCGCACTGGGTCCGCATCCTAAGGCAGTGGTTCTCAACCTTGGCTGCACATTAGAATCAACTGGGAATATTTTTAAAATCCTGATTCTGGGCCTCATCCTCTGGAAATTCCGTTTCTTTGTTATGGGGTGGGGCCACAACATTAGTAACAAAGAAACAGAATTTCCGGAGGGTGAGGCCCAGAAATCAGGATTTTAAAGATTCCCCGGTGATTCTAATGTGCAGCCAAGGTTGAGAACCACTGCCTTAGGATGCGGACCCAGTGCGCTCGCTCTCCCTCCCCGTAGCTCGCCTGTGCCGTTCCCTCCCCACCCCCAGACCCAGCAAGTTACCATGAGCTTCCTCACTCCAAGCTCCAAGGGCCCTTCCTTTACCTCTGTAACTTGTTTCCTAAGCCCATTTCTTCTAGGAATTACTTTTTCTACCTCTGCAATTTACCCCATAAATGTTTTCTTTCAGTTTGGGTCTTGGCTTTGGATCCTTTCCTATCCAGAACCCAAATACCGAGGTTGCTGAGCCCAGGTTCGGTCTGATCCCACTGGTCAGACACCTGGTGCCGTTCCAGCGCCTGCAACACCGTGAGTGTCCACAGGAGAGGGAACGTGCACTAGCTGCAATCAGGGAAGGCTACCTGGAAGAGGACCTACAAGGCATGACGAGGGTTTAAACAAGGTGGGCTCTAGGAAAACCATGGGATGGGAAGGCGTGTGTAAGGAAGGAGACACCGGGCATCTCATTCTTCCTGACCTTATTCCTGTTCTCCAGCTCTGCCTTTGTCCCAGGCACACCTGCAGGCGGGGCCGATGCCTCTGGTAGTTTTCAGGGCTCCGAACAGTTGCTGACCTCTGGGAGGGATCATGGGACACCTTCCTTGTATCTAAGTGACACATACTTGTGAAATACAAACATTTTTATCGAGTAAGGGCCAAGTCAATAAAACAACAGCAAACATTTGCACAATACTCTGGGTTTTCCAAGTAGTTGCATGGCAGTTATTTCCTCTGATTTTCACA